CCCCCCCCCCCCCCCCCCCCCCCCCCCCCCCCCCCCCCCGAATTCTCACGGCCAGCGGCAGTGGTTCTGCGACGACTGCCGTATCCTTCCACTGGAAATCCAAATTTCCCTTCACATCGTGCGATCGAATGCGACAAGCGCGGCATGCCCTTCGGGAGAAGATACGACATCCAAGGAGACAATACCCAACCAGTGGGGGAACTCGCGGATGGCCATTTTTTACAAGAAGGGAGACCGGGATGATCTTCCGCCCAGCAAGCTTATTGAGTGTGCTTTACAAGCTGTTCACTGAGATCATCCTGACTCATATATCGCGAACGTCGGATGGAGCATAACCTGTAGGAGAGGCCGATTGCGGATGGGATTCTACTAATTAGACCACATTCAAGCAGTCGCAATGGTCATCGGAGTGCTCCAAGAATTCCGTGTCTCTTGTTTTTACCTTTGTTGAGAATGAGGAGGCATTTGACATGTCAAAACGAATATGGTCCTGCCAGCACTGGTCGACCTAGGGGTGGGCTTTCCTTCTGTAGGAACACTAGATGACTGCAATAGTCGCTGCAACGCGACGCTGAAGCAGTTCCAACGACCTCCCGTCATTCCCAAAGTGAAGGGTGTCAGACAGGGCAACACGATTCCGCCCATGCTGTTTACAGCCGCGCTGCAGTGGGTTCGCTGAACTAGGACGAAAAGGGCATTCGTGTGAATGGATCAAATCTCCGTTTTGCGGACGACGTCGTTTTCCATTCAAATAGTGTTACGGAAGCTGAGAATATACTTGCCGAACTCAATAAAGTAGGAAAGAAGGAAGGGCTACGGAACAACCAAACAAAGACACAGTTTCTGAAGTATGCTTGGGCTGACGAAGGCCAAGTTAAAATCGATGGCACACCCACCAAGAAGACCTCGTCCTACGTTTATCTAGGGCACTCCACGAATATGAACAACGACATGAGGGAAGAACTGGTGAGGCGGTAAGAAGCAGTGTGAGCTGCTTTCGGACCTCTGAAAGAGATCACTTACCGTCTGGCTGACCCGAAACTTCAGGCTGATTTGTACGATTCCACAATTTTTCTGCTCTCTATTACGGGTCACAGACTTGGATGACCATGAGTGCATCGACGTCAAAGGCTTTGAGCGTAAGTCACACACGCACTCAAACCAGTCCATTGAGGTCTACTCGGCTCAGTCAACATCGAGCCGGACACCGCAGGACTGATATGAGCAGAATGTCTTGCCTTCGCGATCTGACGGAGTACATGAAAAACGCCAAACTTTGGTGGGTCGGTCACATCATGGGAAGAGATTATGATAGAAGAGCAGTCGAGTAGGCTTCACTATTTTAGGGTAGGCTTGCTTCGATACGGGGGACGTGCTCGTCGACCACAAAAGTAGCTGCAAATGCGGCTTAACCATTCCACATATGGTCATCTTCGTCGGATTTGAGTCTACCATGGATTTTGATTGCAAAAGACAGAGGCGAATGGCTTGTTGCTGGCGCTAGCACATGAATGTAGAGAAGCCGTATAAGGAAATGAGCGACTTCGTTCATCTGACTGCTCGTCTACCAAAGAGGGGTATGAATGCAGTTATTGAAGGTAACTACGTTCAACCAAACTCATCGTCCATCAACGTCCTCTTTCGATCACTAGAAGTCGTCGGCAGTCTTCAGTTTTACCGGAGTGTCCGGAATACACATTCTTTGTGCTCTGCATCATAACAAATTACTCCCGGAGACATTGTTGCCTTTTTGGCATGCCACAATGAGCGTAAATATGCACGATTCTGAGTGGGAGACGACAACTTCTTTGCTTTTTCATTGTGCTTGTCTACATATTTTGCGTCAGCAACATGTCCCAATCGAATTTGCAAATCTCCAAGCAATGTGTGAAAAACCGACTTTCCAAAGAGGGCGATGATTTCGGGTTTATTATCCGACGATAAGACTTATCATTTCATGAATATATAGACTTTGCGCCCCTTCAAGGGAGTGTAAATGCAGCATTCTCCTACCATGAGAACTCTAGCCCACCATAAGAAACTTCTTTCAAAAATTTGCGGCTGTTGAATGAAAAAGCCAGTACGCGGACTACCCCTTCGTAAAGAACTCAAGGTGAAAATATTGACCGTGTTGCAGTCATTCAAAGTTATTTAGAACTTGCTGAGAGTGGGAAACCTAACTCTCTGAGATACCGACTCTTAGGCAACCAGCCGGAACCGGAGAATACTAACATTGTTAAAAGAAGCAGCATTCCCGATTTGAACGAAAAGATTAGGGTACCTCAATGTCAGCAAATTGCGCACGGGTATGAATTGAGTGGGACGGGGAAGACGCAACTTTGACGCGCATAAGAGGCATACAGGACCACGGCTTACCTCTGCATTTATAGTTAAGCCTTGATAAATGTCGTAACCACAGACCGCATTCTAGTCACTGTCAGTAAGAAGCCAAGCCGGGAAACAGTCGATAGCTGATAGGTGAACCCGGGTATCGTGATTCAATTTTCTCGTATGTCGTCTTTCATAAGGGATTAAGGAAAAGAATTGACGTAGTAGTAAGGAAGGGATGAGAGCGTGAGCCCCTCAGATGGGAGCTGATGGGGTTCACGCCGGAGTAAGAGTACCACAGGTAACGACGGATAAGTAAAAAGTTCGACGACCCTACCTCTGACCTTCTTTCTACAGAATAGTTGTGGAACCTTCTTTGTCTATATACTTTATTCCATTGGCTGTGATGCCGTATGTAGTACTGGAATGACTGTGAGGGTCGGGCCATCGTTCTAGGTCTTCCCCTCCTCAGAACAGGTACGTCTACGTCACTGAGAGATTTCTGGAGTACTGGTTGCCACCGCAGCCACGCCCAGCGAGAAATCGTAAGATCCTCGCAAAAATTGAGGCCTTCCAGCACGACGCGCAAGGCGGGCGACACGCGAAACGACAGCCCAAGTATTGTAGTGTCTCGTCCTCACTTCTCACTCGTTGCTGAATGAACACTCACATCATCCCTCTGAATCGATAAAACCGATGTGCTCATGAGCAGCTTTAGCTCTGGGCTTTGTCGCTGTTCCTTGCACATGCTTCACGTCTGGATGATAAACGCCAGCGTAGCCCAAATCGCCACGAATTTCGCCGCGAGATTTGCCGCGCGCATCTCCGGACGCACCAATGTACCCATCCGTATGCAGTAGCACACATATCTGGACCGCACCTCCAAATACCCCCTCCATGCAACTTTTGTCGATTTCTCAGGTTTCTGAAAGTAGCCGCAACCCTAACTTCTAACATTTCCCATCACAGCACTATTGTTGTTTTTCATTAATCGAATGATAAGTGAACCTGTGATGATCGCACAATGTTACATAATCTAATAAACGCTTACGTACCTGAAAGTTATTTCCATATTCGTCTCTGTTTGAATATTGAACTGAATCGCTACAAAGCGGCCTTCATGGAATGGTTTTTGTTGTCCTAACTGGTACACGAGTCCGGAATCGGATTTGAGAGCGAGCTGCAGGACTAATATGTAGGACCAAACCAATGAACTACAAAATTATTGAAATTATTAACTATTTAAAATTATCAGTAGACCAATGGAAAAAGTACACACCCATAATAAACGGGAACAAAAGATTGCGTCGGAAGAAAACGCAGAGACTGTCTTTTCTAAAAACTCTGACGGATGATGACAGAAGGAAGGAATCATTTCTCTTTATGGAGATAAATTCAGGAACGCTTTGATTAGGCAATGTCTCAGTAATAATAGTAGCTTTAGCACACGAACCGTGTTCATGAGTATGAGCTCGTTCAGATGGTCTAGATGTACGTCGTCATCCCAAACCAATGTCGAATGGAGAATCTCGCTTTCATTCTTCACATTTACCATCAATTCAATATCGCCAAACAGTTCCGTTCGTCCCTTTATAGGATCTCTTAAGTGGTTTCCTGGTCGGAACTTCGTTCGTGAATCCTGGAATCAAACCTAACTGAAGCGGAGTCTGAGACATAACTAAGAAAACTTCAAAGCAATCACGTGATTGCGAAAAACGGAGATTTAATGAAATCTCTCAGAGGAAGGGTTTGCAGAAAAGATTGCGAAGAGAAGCAAGATTTTACAAATGACCTTAAGCTTATACCCCGTTTTCACAAACTTTGATACAGCTCTGCTCTTGGAATATGTATGGTTATCCATAACTAGTCCACAACTATCACTTGCCTCATCGTACGCCATTACTGAGGTGGTGACTTAGTTAGTTGTGTTCCCTATCTCCTTCAGCTCTCTTTCCATAGACATAAGTAGCAATATGTACAAGGAAAAAAACTTCTCACCTGTGCCACCATGTATACTATGACTGTGTATCTAGTTTTCGGGTAAATGCGCACACCAGCTGTCCATGTTTCTCTATTACTTATCCAGTCGAAACTTAGCTTACAAGACCGGTCAGTCACATTTTCACGCCCGAAGGTACGGCCGTCGGCCGCGTACCATCCATAGCTCTTCAAATCATCTCCTACACAAGGTTTAAATTTCGAACACCTATGTTATGCTGAAGTACATATTGAAATATAGTAATGTCAACCTACCCTGATCACACCAATGTCTCATATGTGGTCTTTGTAAAACTGCCGGTTGCTTGTACCACATGATTCCAAAGAGTGGAGAACGTGGATCCTTTGTACGCAGTCCAAAATATGTATGCGCTCGATACGAACCCCACTTCTTCTTTAAAATTGTATACATATAAGCACACAGTTACTGACAGCGACTAAACTATTACACATTGGTTGTGCCACCAGGACCTACGAGCTTATGTTGCTTGTCTGGCAGGGTTCAAGAAACTGCGCTTGGCAACATGCTCGAACCTAACAGATGATGTGAAGAACCGCTATAAATATATAGCTTCCTTGGACATCGTATTCGCTCTTATCAGATTGCCGACCATCAAAAAGTCAATGAAATCGGTAGTAACTTTATTCCGAGTTTTATAGATGACATGCTGGCAGTAAATGTGCAAGGTGAATGTGTGGCAGTAATTATAACAAGCAAACATTTCCCTCTCCCCCTCCCTCAATCATTTCTCGAGGACTGCGTGCAATTCCTCAAGTTAGCGCAATTCCTCAAGATATTTTTTGAACAAGGGAAACGGATCACGACTTGAGAAGGAAGGAGAAGAGGTGATTCTTACTATAGACGTTCCATAAGTTTGGTATGCTCGTTTGTAGTAAAAAAAACTGAACGTTTGTTGCGCTTTTTTTTTCCAAAGGACCACCGGGTTTTTGCACCCACACACAAAGTGATCCGTCCGTACTTGGAAGGGTACCCCTTTTTGGAGTAGGTTTCATCTCAAAAAAAAAATGGAGAGCAAAACGAGTAAGAGATACATGATTATAAGTGCAAAACTCGACACATTTTAGGGCCGACTACGAGAATTAGAAACAGAATTTAAACAAAAAAAAAAGACAGCACAGGCCATGCCATGTCGCTACCACCCTTCACTTCACGAAACCCCCAGATTTACAAAGAATCGAATTCAAATTTATTACAAGCAGTACTACAATCCTACTATATATAATTCGCTAGGTGTGTCTGTTGGTGTGTCGGTGTGTGTGTTTGACCAGAAACTCATAATACCTGATTACGTGGGCCTAGAGCGTTGAAATTTGGTAGGAGCACACGAGGCAGGATGGGAACACTCATGGCAGGTAGAAAGGCCAGACTCCGTTCACAGAAGGCGGGGCGTGCGCGATAGAAATTTTCGACCGCAAATTTATCACTCCTGTTCCTCTGGACCTAGAGCGTTCAAATTTGGTAGGAGCGGATGGAAACACCTAAGATGGGTGGCAGACCAGATTCCGCCCAAAGAGGACGTGCTTCGCGTGGAACAAATGGTTGAGCATGAATTCATAACTCTTGTCTCCGTGAACCTAAAGAATTGAAATTGGGTAGGATTACTCCTTTCGTATTAACAGTGGAACCTCGGCATTTTAATGAGTGATGTAGGATATGACGGGATCGTAGGTGCTCGGTGACAGGAACTGATAGAAAAGGTAAGGGACATAAGGGAGGCCACCTACCGATCAAAATCCTAACGTCTCGGTATTGACGATGTAGCTTCGACTGTTCAATATGTTTAATTCAATAAGGCGGGATGGTAGAGTAGGGAAACAAGACAAAAGTGAGTGGCAAGGCAGTAATGAGACCCAGCAATACTTAAGCACATGAGAATTTTTCCGTTTCTTGCTATTGTATTACTACCGCTACTCAGCAAGGTTGTGAATTGAGGATCTCCTCTGTACGATATCATTTGCGACAAAACTTAACCGACCGCCAGATATCTGGAATTTTCAAGTAATGATATCCCCGTCTACGGATCTCTTTCACTGAGTTCTCTCTCACCGAAGGATCCCCAGCTGGTTAGTGACGAAGCTAAGTTGGGCGTCCTCAGCGGATAGGGGAATTAATCGCCGACTAAAAGTCACCGGTACTTGCCGAGAGACGCAGGTGGATTCAGGGGATGGACTCCTTGATTCTGCTGTGCTGGTCCATATACCTTCTGTTTCTTGCAGGCGTATCCACGCAGTGTGGAGAGTCTGTGGATGCAGTTGGCATCCTGCCCATCGACTCAGCCAAAAGCTTGCATTCGAGCGACTGGGAGTATCTGCGAGGCGATTCGGGGCCGCCTCCAAAAACAAATCCTCTCGTCCACTTAGGGATAGCCTGGCAAGCCCCCGGAGTCAACCTAGCCACCACGTCAGAGCCTGGCAAGCTGCACGTTGGGTATCTACTTGCCAAAAACAGTAATAGAAACAGACCTCATCCCCCTGAACCTGAGGGAACCTCAAATACGGCAGCGCTGGTGGGACCGCTCGGGAGAGACTGCTAAAATCTCAGGGCCAAAACAGGCTGCCCAGAAGGAGGACTAAGATGGCGATCTGTACTTTCAACGCATGTACTCTTGCATCGGAAGTGTGTAGAAGTCTTGATGATGAAAGCTAGGAAGATTGAGTACAACGTCATCGGACTGACCGAGATGAGAAGATATCGCCCGCTGCACGCTATATTTGAGACTGGAGAAGAACTGTTTCTTGGAACATACGACAGCAGGGACGTCGATGGCGTAGGTGTCCTCGCCAATACGCACTTGGCCATAAACATCGATTCGTACGAGAGCATAATAACCCAAATCGGACGTTTGCGATTAAGAAGATGTGGCTCAACCTCAGCTCTAACCATCTTCGTTGCCTGAAAACCAACATCGAGCTACGTAAAAGAGGAAATGGAAGCGTTCTACATGGCTTAACAGAGAAGACCGCACTTTCTTCAAGAACGGCTGAAAAGCTCCACATTGGGATTCACGGAATGGAATGGAATGAGCACGATGAAAGGCTGTCCGAGTTTATCATGTCGACCCACACCATCTATGGTAACTCGCAATTCCAGAAGCCCTCTAAATTGCGATGGACATGGGAGTCACCCGGTGGACAGTTCCACAACGAAATAGACCATATCATCTTCAATTGGAGATTTTGCCTGACTGACGTCGCTTTTGTTTTACACGGGATCGGACCATCGTCTTCTCCGTGCCAGATTCTGATTTTCAGCGCGTGGAGACAGAGCTATGAAGACTAGGAAACGAAGCACCAAGACCTCCATCAACTGGGATCTGAAAGGGAGAAGAGCAGCAGTTATGGACGAAGCCGCCGAGGCCGGAAAGAGCATTCGCAAAGCCCAACGGAGCTTCGCCAATTTACAAGACCAAGATGACATCCCTTCGTCGTCCTGACAGAACAGTTACTGCATCTCGAAGGGCAATGGAGATGGTCACCTATGACTTCTACTCG